AGTAGTAGTAGTAGTAGTAATGTAGCAGCAGTCGTCGTCGTCGTCGCTCCTTTTCAAGGCCCCCGCGAGGAGCAACGCCGAGAGGTAGACGTGCGCCTGTGGGCGCAGGAACTTGGGCTTCAGCGGGGCGAGAGCCTAGGCTGTGCTGACTGTTTTTATTTCTCAGCGGATGTAGGGTCAGGTCGTGGGGATCACGGTCCCTGGCTCAGGGTTCAAGTAGTTCTGCACTGGCACTCTTCGTTGCGCATCTTGGTGAAGCCTTCGAAATAAGTGCCACCAGATGCTCCAAGCTGAAGATGAAACGTCTGTAAGAACGGCCCTAGACCCTCAGCACGAAGAGAAGCCTCAACCTGCCGATAATTTGGGAAGCGAAGTTGACAATCGGGCTTGAGCTAGTCACTGCCAACCTGCTAGTCAGGAATAGAGTCTTATCATCGTGGTGTGGTCATCGGCTCGGATGGTCTCGCGCAGATCGGTGAATGGTCACAGTTTGTAGGCGATAGGCTCGTGGTACATGCCGCGAATCTTGCTAATGTAAGTGAGCAGCTGTTTGTTCATGGTCACTGCATTTAACAATGCATGTTCATGCTTCTGCCGTTCAACGTCCGCATGTAATGATTCGGCCAGAGAAGTGTCTCCCTTCTCCGCGGCCTTCTTGGCTCTTAGCTGGGCAGCGGAAATGGCTGAGGCCCGTTGACAACCGGCACTGTCGAACCTTCTTAAAAAGCCTTGGTTGCCCACCATGGCTGCCATTGCATCACGAACTTGAGCTGCATTCTGTTTCGTGAGTTTGACTGCCAGATGTGCCTGAGCAGCCTTACGGAGCAGCCCTGAAGCCATCATCTTTTGCAGGACGGCTTTGCAGCTTGATGTTTTCGTGATCGTCAGCTGATGCCACCGATTTTGAACGCAAGATATGTGCGACTTGACTCCCAGCTGTCTCGCAAGAAAATTCTGCAAACACACCAGAACAGTTGGATGTTTCTGCGTAAATACCAGTACGAGTGATGCCATGGCCTTCTGTTGTTTAATGTGGCCATCTGCATCAAAGAAGCCAGCAACATAGGCCCAAGTGCACGCCCCGACCACGCTTGAGTCACTGCGCTTCAAAACGTCGAGCTTGAGAGACCAATCGCCTTTGTCAGCAGGCACTGGGAGTCCCTCTGCAGTAAGCTCTAGCTGCCTTCTTTTCACGATGCTGTGTGGTGCCAACAGGCCTGCTGTACAACGAGCACTGTTTCCGAACCGCTGCCAAACTAGTGTTGGCTTTTGAAGACCTTTCCCATTAGTGCATCGGATGATACTTCCACCGAAGGCTCCTTGCATGAGCAGCAAGACAGCGACTCCATCAACAGATTGCCCAACGTGCAGGGAACATCTATTGCTGACGGATCCATCGCCATCGAAGAAGCCTGCCAGGTATTCCAGCTTCTGGAGACTGGGTGCGTCCATTCCGTCTCGCATTTGCCCGGACGAGGTCAGAGGCAAGGTGTACGTTTTTTCGCGCAGCCTGAATGACACCAATGGTGGCCAAGGAATTGCTGCAAGCGTGGCTCTCAGCTGCCTGTTTCTCTGTTGCAGAACTTGCAGCGAAGTGCCGATGAGAGGTTGGCTGCCCACTGCTAGTGTTTGGTGTGGTGCCAAGGCTGGCTGCGGCAGGCTCGTTACAAATTGCCGAATGATTGGGGCAACACATGTTATGTGCCAGTACTGCCGCACTCCCAACATCGTCTGTCCAGGCTCCACGAAGAAAATACATGAGTGGCAGTTCCAGAACACTCGAAACTACCACAAGGACCTCCAGCCACGACAGCGGCGTCGTTCCACGTATGGACGTCACGGAAGAACAGCACTCAAGAAACCGAAGCTTCGGACATCGTGCAAGCAGCCTCATTAACCGAGTCATTAACCTGGCTCCGAGACCCCTCTTCATGACCCTATACCCTACACCCTAAAACCCTAGCCAGGAAGGTCAGATAGATGCAGAACCCAGACACCCTTCTCCAACATGCAGCGAATGAGGCTAGAGAGCATGCATTCAAGCAGAACTCCTTGATGCCCTAAACATGGATGCTGCAGTTCTCAGATCCAACACCATGGACCCCTTCAAACTCCAATACCGAGGAATGTACTGAAATCTTTTCTGTACACTCACTACGAGTCAACGCATATGCACTCAAGACTTTCACTTAATCACCCCCCCCCCCCCCAACAAAAAAACTCAGGGCGCTTGCATTCATGCCTGGAGCGGCAAGAACTCCATCCACGATGGGATCAACCACCTCACTTGTCCGTTCGTCTTTCTCGGAATCGAAGAATAGTACTCGTCTCCGTAAAGTCCATATATAACCATAATACAACATATATTCCACAACACCAGTCTAACTATACCCTAAACCCCGGCAAACCCATCGCAAACGCGTGAACGCCGATGCTGGCATGTAAGGCCCTTTATCTATCAGGACCAACATAACATGAAACAAGAAGAACAGTTGAGACCTAGGGTCTCCCTGTTTTCTAAAAGCCCTATAAGGACTACCTTCAACTACAATCACCGACTTTTCTCTAGGTTTTCGAGTTGCCAACCCGAATAGAGAACTTACGGGGACCCTACAACAAAGTAGGTTTTGGCAGTTTAAGGTAGGCTTTGTTTCATGGCTTTCGGTCCAAGGACCATTAAATTACATGTAAGGCTTTTTTACGGACTCATTTTTTACAGCGTCAGTCTGTGCTTCAACAACGTAACATACAATGCCTTTGGGCCATTCTGGATGTAAAGGCTTCCTTTGTGCTCAAAGCCCAGAGGCCAGAGCAAGAAATACAGAAGCAAGGCGAACGCATGCATGAGTGATCATGAGTGTACATCTGGCACTCGCGTGCCCGTCTGCCTGCCTGCCTGCCTCCGCTTACTTGCCTGATTGCCTCGCAGTCCGTCTATCTGTTTTCGTGCTGGGTTCTGCTGTCGCCGAGCTTTCAGCAGTTGAAACTCATGTTCCACATACTCTGGTTAAGATAGCTAAACCTTATAAACCCTAAACCCTTACACAGGTTCAGGTAGGAAGCCACGAGTCCTTACTGGCATCGCAGCATATTATGCCTAAGACCCCACATCAAATCCCACAAGAATGCCAAAACGCAACCCAGCGACGTTAGCACCCTCTCTTCCATGCGGGGTCCGCGGAAGTAGCGCCTGCGGCCATCGACTATTCGGCCAGTGGCCCCCAAGTAGCTGGTTCTCTATCCCACACTATATTGTTTATGTGTACGTAGCATTACATGGGAATTTGGCCCAGACCATTTGATGTTTGCTATCGACGTTGCGCAAGATGTACAGGATGCCAGGAATAGTGACTAGTCATGACCGGTCTGTGGGCTTTTTGCAGTGAGATTTAGGGATTCGGCTTTGGCATGGGACTAGAAAGCCATCGCGCTGCTTAACAAGTACCTATAGTCTCCATTGTAGTTCCTTTCTTTGGTTTAACAAAATATATAAAGGATTGTATAATGTATCCCCAATAAGGAACTACAATGGAGACTATAGGTGGGGTTTCATAATGGCTTAGGGTTTGGGTTTGGGGCTTAAGGGTTTAAGAGTCTTAGTGTTTTGGGTTTACTGGACCCCTGACCTGTCTTCGCACTTGAGGGCCAAATGACGCTCACTATGAATTCCTTTATGGTATATGAATATGAACCGTACATCCTTCTATCCTGCTTTACGGCCTTATGGACCAAGCAGAAGATGACAGCTTCACTCCCACTTCCTTAGGTCCCGGAGGAAAGTCGCAGCCTCTTCTTGGGGGTGCGATGGACGTAATCGCCAGATAGAGAGGTTGTCGACGGAACCTGGCAAAACACAACCGTAGGCAACCTAGAAAGGCTCGATGGCCATCCTGCATATCATGCTTTCCGGCTTCTTCAGGGTTCGACTTATTGGCCTTAGCCTACGGGTAAGGATTATCCAACCATGGGGCATGGGATTCTAGATTTAATCCAAACAGTCTTCAATGTTCACCCCTTTTGATTGACAGGTTCGGGATGAGGGCCAGAGGCTTCGACTAATGTGGAGGCCTTAATAATTAGAATAGGGTGCTGGGCTCCTGTAAAGTAGAGTTTGAATACGGAGCCCCGAAACTAGTATTGGCAATTGTTTCGGCCCCTTTGTTGCAGCCTTAATAGATGCAGAGAAGCTAACCCCCATGTACACACATGAACTTGAACCTTGAATAGTCGGATCCTTCTTGCGCAGGTCCTAAACCCTGTAGGTCCTAAACCGCTTAGATCAGCCCTTACCCCCTCAAAGCTGAACCTGAAACCCGAAGCAACCTGCAACAAAAAAACGCACGCCTGGCATTTCTCCCTAAGCCCACCCTAAGACTCGATATAAGCCCTAAACCCACAACCATGCTTTGAATTGACCATCTCATGTCAGATACAGGATGTGAGACGGAGAGAAGACTGATCCATTTGTATGTCCTAAATTTTCAGTATTCGGTTCCTGTCAGGACTCTACGAAACTCCTAGACCTAGAACAAGTTTGTTTCGTTGGGCTGGGCTCCATGCTTCGAGCACATACATCAAGCTAAGTGCCATGAATGAACGAAAGGCCCGAATGATACCGAATACAAGAGAGCGGAAAGGCTGTGATGGGGAGAGAGAGAGAGAGAGGGAGAGGTAGAGATCGAAAGGGATAAATACAATTGCAATGTATAGCACACACGCACACACTCTGTACGCACATATCTGGACTCTAATGAATAGAATAGGGTTTTGGGTAAGGACACAGCACAAGCCTACATGGACCATCAGAAAGGGTGCGTGATTAATGCTAATATTTAAGAGCCCTTCATCAACCATGCAACATCCAGGAAGCCTCGTACATTCTTCGGGATGGACTCGCAGCGAATCGCACAAGCCTGTTGAAAGGGGCACCCTAAACCCGGAACCCTGTAAACGCCTAAACCCGAAACCCCTCAACTTCAGACTCTTATCCATAAATCTTATGCTGTTTTGGGCGTCTGCAACGAAGGAGCTTGACATGACCGAACATTTTGAGCAAACAGTCTCCGGTTGGCATGTTGATGAATATTGAAGATGCCCCAAGCCCTAAATCTTAAAACATACTAAAACACAAAGCCTCAATCTCAAAGGCACAAACCTCGAGTTCAGAAGTCTGCGTCTCAGGAAAGGACAGCAGCAGGTTGTGCTAGAGGTTCCTTAAACCCTAATACCCTAAAACACCAAAGCCATATACCCCAAGCCCTACAAATCCTACAGCAATTTTCCCGTAAACCTGCAACAGCTTCCGGGATTTCGGTCCAAACCCGTTTAGCATTGCAGCGCAGATCGGGCCTTGGGGTACTGCATGGGTTTCAGGCCAGGGCTTCTAAGATTCCGGTTCTGCCGGGGGTTTAGGGTTTAGGGTTTGTTGGGGTTTATGAGCGTTTATTAGGGTTTATTAGGGTTTATTCTGGTTCATTAGGGTTCATTAGGGTTTATTCTGGTTCATTAGGGTTTAGGGTTTTAAGCATCCAAGCTTGAGGTTGAGGGCTTGGGGCTTAGCCTAGGGTTTGGGGCTGTGGGGGAAGTCTGCCTTCTGCCAAATCCGACGAAGACAGACGGTTTAGGGTTTGGGGTTTGGGGTTTAGGGTTCCATGTTCAGGGTTCAATTCTCGGGGTTTCCATCATGGTTGCAGTTCCCTCCATCATGTATCTAGGGGGTTTGGGTTTAGGGTCTAGTGATTGCGGGAGGCAAGGATTGAAATCCTAACCTTGCCATCTAGATTCCTGAATCTTGTGAACCAAATCTAAACCCTAAAGCAAAAACCCCAAGGGAACTGAAGCCTACAATCTAACGCCGGCATCCTAGGCGAGCAAATTCTTCCGCCTCAAGCCCACGACCCCAAAAACTTTCACAAGTCACAACAGAACGCAACAACACGGGAAGGTAAACAAGCACAAGGCTGCAGCAACTTGGGGGGGGGGGGGGGGGTAGTATAGGCCCTTAACAGCCCCTTCAAATAAAAAAGGGTGGGGTTCTCTTGATTAGGGTTCCCTCTGAACTGCGTTCCTAGGGAGTCCAATTCAATTGCATTCGCAGTATGCAGAACTACCCATGTTTGGCTATTCTCGATGTCGGTACAAAACTACCTGAGCAGTTCTTACATAAGAACGTAGGCAAAACCCCTAACACTTTTTTTTAGAACGACCCAGACAAAGATCGGAGCCTGTCGGGAGGAGTCCTCATGCTCTCCACCTGCTCCTGGCTCTGTACCAAAAGCTTTGCTTAGAGGCTATGGAATGTTTCTCTTTCGTTATAGCTATCAGGTTTGAGGATGTGGGATAAGATCGGAGCCTGTCGTTCGCTTAGAGGCCATGGACTGTTTCTCTTTCATTCTTTCATCCTGATGATAGGTATCAGGTTTAAGGATGTGGGACTCTAGCATCAGAATTCGCGCCTCAAACCTGAACCCTGAACCCCTACAAGCCCTATAACCCCTAAAACCTGAACCGCAGAGTTCAGCTCGGGTTTGCGGCGGCTTCCAGCTGAGAGACTTTAGAGTTGAATTCTGAAGGCCTGAGACAGGGGCCACTGGGCTTTGAGGTGTGTGTATGTATATATATATATATATATGTGTGTGTGTGTGTGTATGTGTGTATATATATATATATATGGGCTTTTTCTTATAAGAAATAGCCCACAAAGAGTGTTGGTAATTGTTTAGGCCCCT